AACAAGGCCCAGTGATAGGAATCTCTGAGCATGGGGTGGAGAGATATAATTATGAGAACACAGGAATGAAAAGGGTGGCAAGGGTGTACAGCCGCCCAAGGATGACTGATCTGGAAGTCGTTTTATTTTAGATTTAGTCTTCTGTTTTGATATCACATTCATTTCTAAATATGCCTCTCCTTACCTTAATGATCTAGCCCTCTCTCTTAACAAAAATGAAAAAAAGATGAAACCCAACAAAACCAATCCACTTCTTGACTGTTCAGCTGCATGTGCAACATTCTACACCCATAGTCCCCCACCCCTGAAGTGAAGGGAGGGAGATGCATTTTCTCAATTCTCCTCCAGGGCTGAGTTTGGTCATCGCAATTACACAATGTTCCCTGTTTTTGGGTCTCTGTACTCACACTGTTGTCATCACTTATATTGTGCCCCTGGTAGCTGGTTGTCTACATCAGTTCATTGTTTCTCTGAATTCTTCGTCATTTCTGACAACGCAGGAATATTCCATTACCTTCATGTATCACAATTTCTCTAGCCACACCCCAGACTATGGGCACCTGTCTGTTGTTTTGCTATCATTCAAAAGCGTTGCAATTAATATTCTTGTCTATATAAAACCTTCCTTTCTGTCTTTAACCTCCTTGGGGTCAAACAATGGGATCTCTAGGTCAATGGACATGGACATTGTAGTCACCTTTTAAAAGCATTATTCTAAATTGCTTTGCAGAATGGAATGAAGTTATATAATTAAAATGATACAAATAAATGCCTGTTGGCTTTTAAGAATATTTTATTTTTCCCAATTACATGTAAAAACAATTTTTGTTGTTTTTTAAGTTTTTGAGTTCCAAATTCTCTCCCTCCCACCTTCCCCCTCCCTGAGATGACAAACAATTTGATATAGGTTATATATGTGCAGTCATGCAAAACATGTTGCGAAAGAAAACAGACCTAAAAAAAAGCAAGAAAAATAAAGCAAAAAAAAGTAGATTTTGATGTGCATTCAAACTTCATCAGTTCTTTCTGTGGAGATGGGTAGCATTTTTCATCATGAGAACTTCGGAACTGTTTTGGATCACTGTGTATGTATGTACACACACACACACACACACACAGAAACAGACGGAGATAGAGACAGAGACAGAGAAACAAAGAGACAGAAAGAATAAGTCATTCACAATTGATCATTGTACAGGATTGCTATTACTATGTATGCTGTTCTGGTTCTGTTTACTTCACTTTGTATCAGTTCATGTAAGTCTTTCCAGATTTTTCCGAAAGCATTCTGCGTATTTCTTATAGCACAGTTGTATTCCACCACAATCATTTACCACAACTTGTTCAGCTATTCTTCAGTTGATGGGTATCTCCTCAATGTCCAATTCTTTGCTACCACAAAAGGAGTTGCTATATTTTTGTACAAATAGGTCCTTTTCCTTTTTAAAAAAAATTTCTCTGGGATATAGAGATAGTGGTGCTATTGCTGGATCAAAGGACATGTGTGATTTTATAGCCCTTTGGGCATTGTTCCAAGTTGCTCTTCAAAATGGTTGGACCAGTTCATGACTCCACCAACAGTGCTTTAGTGTTCCAATTTTCCCACATCCCTCCCAATATTTGTAATTTTCCTCTTCTGTCATATTAACCTATCTGATAGTTGTGAAGTAGTAGCTCAGAGTTGTTTTAATTGGCATTTTTTTCTAATCAATTGTGATTTAGAGCATTTTTTCATATAACTATAGATAGCTTTGATTACTTTGTCTGGAGAATGATTTGTATTCTTATAAATTTGACTCAGTTCTCCATATTTTTGAGAAACAAGGCCTTCATCAGAGGAACTTGTAAAAAATTGTTTCACAGTTATGATTACTGTGTATTTCCTTCCATCCTATTTTTCCCATTTACCCTTTTCTCTCTCCTTTCTCCCTACGCCTCCTCAAAAGTATTTTGCTTCTGACCACTGCCTCCCCCAATCTGCCCTGCCTTCAATCAGCCCCCTGGTTTATCTTATCCCCTTCATTTCCCTATAGGATAAGAAAGATCCTCAACTGAGCGTGTATGTTATTGCCTCTTTGAGCCAATTCTGATGAGAGTAAGGTTCACATGCTGCCCTCTCCCCCTCCTCCCCCTTCCCCTTTTGTTTCTTTTTTGTAAAAGCTCTTGTTGTCTCTTTTATGTGAAATAATTTATCCCATTCTACCTCTCCCTTTCCGTTTCTCCCATTGCATTCTTTTTTAGCACCCCTTAAATTTATTTTTTTACACAATCATCCCATCAAATTCAACTCACACATGTGCCTTCTATGTATACTCCTTACTACCCTAATAATGAGAAAGTTCTTAGGAGTTACAATATCATCTTCCCACATAGGAATGGTAAACAGTTTGACATTATTGAATTTCTTATAATTTCTCTTTCCTGTTTACCTTTTTATGCTTCCCTTACCTCTTGTATTAGAAAGTCAAATTTTCTATTAAGCTTTGATCTTTTCATCAGGAATGCTTGAAAGTTCATTATTTCATTGAATATCTATTTTCCCCCCTGAAGGATTATAATCAATTTTCCTGGGTAGGTGATCTTTGGTCATAATCCTAGCTCCTTTGCCCTGCGGGATATCATATTCCAAGCCCTCTGATACTTTAATGTAGAAGCTGCTAAATCTTGTGTTATCCTGACTGTGGCTCCATGATATTTGAATTGTTTCTTTCTGGCTGCTTACAATATTTTCTCCTTGACCTGGGAGCTTTGGAATTTGACCATAACATTCCTGGGAGTCTTCATTTTGTGATGTCTTTCAGGAGGTGAGCAGTCAATTCTTTCAAATTTACCCTCTGGTTCTAGGATATAAGGGCAATTTTTTTTGATAATTTCTTAAAATATGATGCCTAGGCTTTTTTTTTTTAATAATGGTTGTCAGGCAGTCCAATAATTCTTAAATTATCTTTTGAATCTATTTTCCAGTTGTTTTTCCAAGGAGATATTTCACATTTTCTTCTAGGTTTTTTTATTCTTTTATTCTTTTATTTTGATGGTTTCTTGATGTCTCATGGAGTCATTAGCTTCCAATTGCCCAATTTTAATTTTTAAGGAATTATTTTCTTCAGTGAGTGAGAGGTACAATGACCAATTCTGCTTTTTAAGGAGTTCTCTTCAGTGGATTTTTGTACATCTTTACTATTTGGCCTATTCTGTTTTCAAGGTGTTATTTTCTGCAGTATTTTTTTAGTGCCTCATTTACCAAGTTGTTGACTTTCTTCTGATTTTCTTGCATCACTCTCATTTCTTTTCCCAATTTTTCATCTCTTTTGTTTTTTTTTAAATTATTAATTTATTTTTAGTTTTCAATATTCACTTCCATAAGCTTTTGAGTTCTAAATTTTTCCCCCATCTCTCCCCTCCCCCTACCCCAAGACAGTGTGCAATTTGATATAGGATGTATTGGTTTTGAATTACTGCTGTTACTTTGGAGGAAGATGCTTCAGCTCTCTGAGTGTTTTCTCATCTGTAAAAAGGGACGATAATTCTTATTCCATATTTAGCAATGCGTTGTTATGAGGATCAAAGGAAAGAAACTCCTGGTAAGACGTTTTGTAAACAGGAAATTGTTATGTTATGGTCAACTATTGTCAGTTATATTAGGCATCCCAGGCTTCTGGAGACCTGTCCTTAGCCTAAGTCTTTTCCTTTGTCCAAGCCAAATCTTGCTGAGGGAAATGGAAGGAACTTCTGCATTCCAGGGACAGCCAGACGCTGCTTCAGGTTTTATGATACACCTTGATTCTAGGATAGGGGCAGTTTAGTAATTTTTCATTGCTCATTTTGATCCCATTGTATGCACAGCCAATGCTGGTGGTGTCAGAACCAGTTCAAATGTCTTCCCAAGCCTAAGAACTTGGGTCTTACTATATTGGAAAGGATGCTAATTAGGTTGGAAATCAGAGGACTTTGGAGCCAAATTATAGCTTGACTTCTTGCTTGATAGGTTAGTCCAATCCCCTCTCTACTGTTCTGCTTCCTCTTCATAAAATAAGGACTGATTTCTAATGTCTCTTACAGTTTTAAGCTCTATAAACTGGGAACTTTCAAGTGTTAGACAATTTGAAACTGGATGGCTGGGCTGAGGCCCTGTGGGAGGGTGGTTTAAGTCTCTGGCGACTGTTGCAAGTCCCCCGCAGCCAAAATCATCTCTCTCCCCTCCGTGGGCTTCAATCTCAGTGATATCCCCTCACACCCACTTCAAGTACTCTTCAAGTTCACCAAAAAGCCTGGGTCATTTCCATATTACCAGGTCCAACTTGGACCGATAGGAGGAAAAACCTCGGAGGACCTTCTTGAGGAAGATCGTGTGTAGGCCAAATCCTTGGTACCCCTTTTGGGAGGTCCACTTCTAGTTCAACAACTTAAGAGATCATCCAGGCAAAGCCCCTCATTTTATAGGAGTGGAAACCCAAGCCCAGTAAAGTTCACACAGGGAGCATCAAAGCAAATGTCCCAAATGACCTGACTCCAAAGCCATTACTCTTTTTAATTGATTTTTTTTTCAGTTAACAAGCATTTCAAGTGGGACTTAAATGAAGAGACATAAGACACTCTCAACCTACCCCTTCATGGAGTTGGTCCACAGGTAGTGGTGATGTGCAATTGTGTCTGACTCTTCAAGACCCCATTTGGGATTTTCTTGGCAAAGATACTGGAAGTTTGCCATTTCCTTCTCCAGTAGATTCAGGCAAACAAAGGTTAAGTGACTTCCCAGGGTCACACAACTAGTGAGTGTCTGAGGCCGAATTTGAACTCAGGTCTTCCTGACTCCAGGCAGCCATTTAGCGGCCTCAGGTGTTACACAAAGCATATGGTTTTGGACTTTTAAAATAAGTAACCAGATAAAAGCAGGAGAGTTCTCTCTCCATGAAAGGAAGAAAAAGAAAGAAAGGAAAGGAAAGAAGGAAGGAAAGGAGGGAGGAAGGAATGAATGAAGGCAGGAAGGAAGAAAGAAGGCCAGGGAGGCAGGGAGAGAGAGGGGGGAGACAGAGAGAAAGAGAGAAAGGAAGGAAGGAAGGGAGTCGGTTGGCCACGTCTAGAGGTGCATGTGTCGGTCAGGACATCCCTCTATCCTCTGGGACCTCCGGAATCCTGGGTATCCTGGCCTCGATCAGTTGCTAAGTCAAAGCCATCCTTCGGACTCCCGGTGTGGGGCTCTCCTCCCACGCGCTGCCTCCGCCTCTAACGGTTCGTGGGCTTCGCGTCCCCTGATCCCGGGTGGCTCAGTTCGAAGCTTCCCCGCACCTGGGGGTGCAGGCGGGGAGGAGGCGGCTTGCTACAGCGGAGACTGGGACCACCACAACGTCACCCTGGGCAAGTCGCCCCCGGCCTCCGTTTCCTCCTCTGTAAAATGGGGGGGCGGGGCCAGCCCGTCCCCCCAGGCACACAGCAGGCGCTTAGCGCTTCCTGGCCGCGGTGACGCGTTGATTACAGGGTGACCGTGGCGGCCCCGCTCCTCGGGGGTCCCTCAGCGGCCCCCAGCCCGGGGCGGGGAGGGCCCCGGAGGCGCCACCGCCACCGGCGTCGTCGTCGTCACGGAGCCGGCCTGCCCCGCCTCCGGGCGGGGCCAGCTCCCCCCTCCCCGACGGCGCTGACTCAGCAACGCGAGGGGCGAGGTTTGTCCCTCGGCGGACCCCGTTTATCCCTCCGGCCTCGCCGGGGCCGAGTCCGTTTCCTCTTTCCGGCGCTCCGGGTGTCCGCGAGCCCCATCCCGCCGCTTGCCCCGCTCGCCCCGGCCCTGCTCCGCCTGACCCCAGCGCCGGCCCCCGCCCGCCGGAGCCAGACCCGGACCGGACCCGGACCAAGCGCCGCCCCCGGCCGGCCTCGGGACCCCCGGACAGCGACCGTTACGAGGCCGCGCGCGCGCTGCCGTCGCCATGAACGACGCGAGTGAGAGCCGAGGGGGGGATCGTTGGGGGTCGGGGCGGGGGGGGGGGTCGGGACCCTGCGTGCGCGCGCCCCGCCGCGTGCGCGTGCCCAGCGTCTCCCACCCCGGAAGAAGGAAGGAGGGACCTTCGGACTCCTGCCCTGCTGGGATGGGACGGGGAAACTGAGGCCCTGGGGTAGAGAGGAGACCGCCGAGGCCATCGAGCCTCACCTCCGCAATGGACAAGACGGGGAAACTGAGGCGGCGGGTGGCGGGGCGAGGGGAGCGCTCCAAGGTCACCCAGCTGGACAAGAGGTAGGGTCAGGTCCTGGGATCAGAGATCCAGAGGTAGAAGGGTCCTTGGACATCGTCCGGTCTTACCCCCTTACTTGACAAGACACGGAAACTGAGGCGGGGATGGGGGTGATACGGTTTAGGGGTTCAGGGGTCCCAAAATCACAACACGTGGGTCCTGCCCGAAAAAATTCGACCCAAGCCTTTTTTCAGCCAAAGACGAGGCTTATTAGAACATCTGTCATATTGGGCAGACTCTTAAGGGAGCTATTTATAAGAATCTAAGCAGTGGCTAGATGATAAGAGCCCCAGCCGTGGCTAGATGATAAGCATATTGGGCAGACTCTTAGGGAGTCTGAACACTAGTAAGCCATTGGCTAGATTATAGGAATCTGAGCATCTTAATGGAGACAAGGTGGACCTTATATACAGAAAGACTGTTGGAGGGATCTAGAGTGGCCAGTAAGCAGGAGTGAACAGAACTTCTGGGACCTGGACCTCGGGGCCTAGGGAGAATGGAGCCTAGCTAGGATTAAGGGTGGGAAATGGCCAGAGGCTCTAGGGACGTTAGACTTTAGAGGGGAGACTGGGCGTAGCCACAATGAAAGGCCAGTTGATGGGATTATAGCCTCAGGCAACTGCCAGAGATTTGGCTATGTGGGAAAGTCCCGGATTTTTTCTTTCTGGGGCACAGGTCCCAACCCCATTAGGGGGAGCACCCTAGGTCACCCAGCTAGACAAGTGGCAGGGCCGGGGTTGTGAGATCAAAAATCCAGAGGTAGAAGGATCCTTGGACATTGTCTGGTCTCACTCCCTTGCTTGACAAAATGGGGAAACTGTGGCGGGGGTAGGGGGAGCACCCCAAGTCATCCAGCTAGACAAGTGGCAGGGCTGGCTCGTGGGATTGGAGGTCTAGAGCTGTGCCCCCCAAGAATGGGGGGATGTCACAAGTCCTAAGAGTTGGGTTCATGGGACCATGGGGGGGCCTCAGAGAACCTCCCCATTATATGGAGTGGACTTGCACATCCTGGGCTGTTTGCGCCTTGGACAAGGTATTTTGCCTTGCCAGGACCTTGGTCTCTTTCTTTGTAAAGTGGATTTGTAAAGTAAATTGGTAAAGAGAACAGGTTGGCCCCTTCCAACCTTGCCATTCTTCCACCCTAAGACTTGAGAAATCTGGAAAGTCTCCTGCAGCTTGAGTTAGCCTCAGCCTGTCTCTTTGTGTTCAAGTGAGTGATCGTCCTGCGGGGCTGAGCCTCAGGAAGGTGGCTGCCATCACCCGGAAGCTGAACAGCGACCCCTTGTTCTCCCTGGCCCAGAACGTGGGGAGCACCCACGACCTGCTGGACGTTTGTCTGCGGCGCTCCACAGTGCAGGACACGCAGCATGTCTTCCAGCACGCTGTGCCTCAGGAAGGCAAGCCTGTCACCAACCAGAAGAATTCCGGTAATGGAGAGTTACTTTTGGAGATTGGATTTCTTGGTTACTCCCTCGCTTTTCCTTAGGGGATCATGTTCGCTTGCTCTCCTTTCGGTCACAGTCAGACCTTGAAGTAAACTGCTAGAAGAGACTGCCTGACTGTGCTTTCTTCCTGAAGTACTTAGTCTGGGCCTCTTTAACTCTCACAGTGCTGTGAGTGCTGATTTCCCAGTACATTAATGCTGCTGCTCTTCTCTCTAGTGCCTTAAACACTGTTGTCTGCCATGGCCAGTGCAGCAGGCACCAGGAGGCCTTCTTTAAAAAGTGTTGAAGCTCTAAGATGACACCCATTGGTGTTGGTTTGGGTCCTTCATGACTGGTTAGTGCCTGACTCTAACAATCTAGTCAGTTTGACCATCGTACTGATGACAACAAAGTCATGGCCTTGATCTCTTTGGCAGCATTGTGGCTGCTGATGGCCACTGATCAGTCACTCTGCCCTTTGTCACAAGAGACACCTGGACAAAAGTCTGTGGTCTACTCTCACAATAGGAAAAACATGTCAAAGTACAGGCTTTAGTATGTCTGGTGGTATTTTTATTTCCAGCAGATTCATTTGGAGCGGCTCCTAACATGGAGTCTCTGAACCTGGATGGGAAAAAAAAAATCACAGCTTTATTTTCACTAATATTTAACATTAATTTAACATTTCCTTCATGGATGAATTTAAGAAAAAACAAACCACATTAGACCCATGGCACACAAAATTAAGGCGTCTTGGTCTAAGGGGTGGCCAACTACTCTGTGTATACTTCAAGTAGACCGGAGCCAGGAGTCATGGGAGTTGAGGAGGACAAGGAACTGGAGGCCAGCGTTTTCTAAGGGGGTTGGGAGTGGGATGGAGATGACGTAGAGGTCCATAGGTGACCAGAACAAGGCAGAATGGGCTTGCAAGGAAGAGAGATGGTTGCTGAGTGGTAGCATCCAAAAGTGGCCTTAGAGAGACTTCTCTTCCTCATGCAGTGGGTCAGAGGGCGAGAGGATAAGCAGGCAGCCTTGGGGAGGAGGCCAAGTGAGCTCCGGAACGTGGGAGGAGATGTTCAGGAAGAAGGGGCTTCATAATGGAGGAGAGGTCCAGAGGGCGTGGTGGAAAGGGAGGGCAGAGGAAGATAGGGATTAGAGAGGGTGAGGGAGAAGGGGAGGATGGTGGCTCATGTCCCACTTTTGCCAGTGACTTCACTCTGCTTCCCTCCAGGAAAACTGAGTATCCTATGGGTCCTACTAGGGATACAAAGAACGAGACAATGAGCTTTGATTCTAATGATGAGATGCTAGGGACATAAACAACCTTCCAACATGAATGTAAAGTGAATAAATACAGATATATACAAAATCATTAAACATTAGGCAGTTTAGGGGGATTGGGAAGGAATCCATGCAGAAGATGGTACTTGGGTGGCATCCGAAAGGTAGAGAGGGACCCTTTGAGGCAGAGGTAAGGAGGGAGGGCAACAGGGGAGGAGCTATGCAAAGGCCCACAGACAGAGGAACAGTAAGGTCATTTTGGCTATTGTAAAGGTCAGGGCCTCTTGCAGGGCTAGATCAGGGAGGGCTTTAAATGCTGAACAGAAGAGTTTATGTTTGATTCTAGTCAGTAGAAAACTACAGGGAGTTAATTGAGTAATGGAGGTCATGTGGTCAGTTCTGTGCTAAAGGAAAATTACTTTGGCAGTGAGTGAATGATGGATGGACTGGAGTAGGGGCAGGCTCAAGGCAGGAAGACCAAAGAGGAGGCTGCTGGGACACTCTGGGGAAGAGGCGATGAGGACCTGAACCAAGGTGGTAGATGTGCGAGTGGAGAGGAGGGGTTGGGTGCAAGAAATGTGAACGTAGAAGCCCCAAGATTTGACAGCTGATTGGTTAGGTGGGTTATTGGTGGTGGGAATGTGAAGAGTCCAGCCAGGATAGTGCCAGAGTTAGGAACTGGGAAGGATGGTGGGGCCTGTGACAGAAATGGGAAGGATTAGGAGGGCAAGATGTGTGGGCACTGCCACTCTACCCAGGAGAGGAGAGTGGTGCCTGGGAACTAGGGGGGTGGGGGGAGGGAGAGACAGCCTGGAATAACTGCTGCCCAGTGCTCCCTGGGGCAAAGCTCTGGCCTTCCTCTGCTAATTCGAGCCCAGTTCCAGCTGTTGGAAGTGGGAGGTCCAGGTGTATTTGCATTAGAATGTTACATTTGCATGTGTAGGTTGGTTAGCTCAAGTATGAACAAGCAGCCGAGGTTTTAGGTTCAGTTTTCTTACAGGCCAGTTCACCCAGTCAGGCCCAGGTTCCGGGGCCGTCTGCTGCCCAGCATTTATGCAGCTGTTTGGATACTTAATTGGCGTCTCTCATTCCCATGTACAAAAAGATAAGATACAGGTCTAGGGCACCTAGACTATTCAATTATTCTCCAGGAATTTTCAAGTTCTTATTACATACCGGTGAGATAAGCAGGTTTTTTTTTTCCCTCTTACCTGTCACCAACCCCATCAGCACACAAGAGAGTCAGGTCCACAAAATAAAATCATACAATGAGAAGAGAGACAGACAGACAATGCTAGCAACAGATAGAAGATGTCTAGAAATATGGTTGTCCCCAGACCATGGTTTACAGGAGTTATGTATTTATATTTCTTGGTTCTTATAACAGTCATATTCAGTTACATTTACTTGTTGCTATTTATTTAGCTGTTTCCCAATCAGGGGGCATATACTTTATTTCCAGTTCTTTGCTCCCACAGAAAAATGGTGCTATACATATTCAGGTGTAGATAAGAGCTGTCCGGTTTGGACTTTCTTGGGGTATACGCCTAGCAGTAGAATCTCTTGGTCAATGGGTATGGATATTCTGGTCACTTTCTTAGTGTAATTACAGATTGCTTTCCATTGGACCAATCCATAGCTTCACCAACAGTGCCCTAGAACGCCTGCCTCTCCTTGTCCAACCCCTTCGACTCTGACTGTGCTCATCTTTGGTTATCTTACCAGTTAGCTGAGTGTGGGTGGTCTCCATGCACATTTCCCTTATCGGCAGTTTGGAACATCTTTCATTGGGCGTTTGGGACATTCTTTTGTATAGATCCAGGTCTTCTTTTGAGGAGCTGTGCACATGGCCGTTTTTATCCGCCCCTATCTCTGTCTTATTCTTGAGTTGTCCTAGACTGCAGCATGATATTCACCAGGAAATGCAGTGGGGTGTCTGATGCAATCTAGGCAAACACAATGACTTGGAGTTTCTGCTTTCTTTTCTTTTTGCAGGGAGATGCTGGATCTTTTCGTGTCTAAACGTTATGAGACTTCCTTTTATGAAAAAGTTAAATATTGAAGAATTTGAATTCAGTCAGTCTTATCTGTTTTTCTGGGACAAGGTATGGGAGTAAACTCCTTGCAGAGCCGTTTCCATTGCATTATCACCCACAGCTTCTCAGTGAGGACCTCCTCTTCAGAGCTTGGGTTTCCGGTTTGGGGCCGCCCCTAGTCCTGTAGATGATGCACCATTGTTGTGCTCTCTGAGGTATTACAAATCCCTCTCCTGCAAAGACACACCTGTTAGCATCTGGCAGGGAAGTCCTCTCATTGCACTATTGCTTGTCTCCTCTATACCTGTTGGTACTTCTGATCGTTCCACTAGGTCGTCTAGATTCCTTAGCCTTTGTAAGACTGCATTCCCAGCTGCATGTAGAACTTGTCAGGAAAACAAGTTTGGATTGTGTCTTGAGGAAAAACAGTGATGCTTCAGAATCTCATCTCCTAGGGACCTTAGCGGCCATCTAGTTCAGCCTCTACCTGAAGCGTCAGTCCCCACTATAACCTTCCTGACAAGTGGTCATTCAGCCACCACTTGAAGACTTGGAAAGAGAGTGAGTTCCATTTTTTAGACGTCTCTGTTAGTGTTTTCTTGTTTCTGTGAGCCCAAATCAGAATCCTTGGATCTTCTGTTGTTGATCCTAGTTAGATCCTCTAAGGCCCAGCAGAATAAAGCTCTTCCTCTTTCCATATTAAAGCCCTTCCAAGGCTGTGATTGTGTTGCCTTTGAGTATTCAGGTTTTAGTTTCCCGAGATCCTTCCCCTGAGCCTCATAGGATACAGCAACCTGATTGTGATCTTCTGAATGTACTCTATTTTGTCCATGCCCCTGCAATATGGTAGTGGGAACAGAACACAATATTTAGGATAGAGTCTGATTAGAATGTGTTACAGTGGGGCTCGAGCCTGCCTTGGTCTTGCATCTGTACTTCTACTAATGTAGTGCAGAATCAATCATTATTATGGTATGACGAGGCTATTCAAGCGATACTCAAGTATGAAAAGAAATAGTTAACCAATGACAGACTCCTGAAGGCATATTTTGGCATTCAGGAACCAGACTTATTAGGAAATAAAATAGTACAGGAGGCCCACAAATGTCTCCTTGGCTAAATTCGTATAGCATGTCTGCTGGGTTTTCACCTCACTTTTGCCTGACTTGCCTTATTATGTTCCAGGTCGAACGCTGTTATTTCTTTTTGAATGCCTTTGTTGAAACAGCCGAGGAGCCGGAGGATGGAAGGCTGGTGCAGTACTTACTTACTAATCCTGCAAACGACGGTGGACAATGGGATATGTTAGTCAATATCATTGGTAAGATATTATTTCCCAAAATGTTGATTAATTAAAGGAACTGAAATAGACTGTGTTAAAGGCCCAGGATTCTAATGCGGGACTTTTAATTAGTGGCTAATTCATGACCTACATTTGACCTGAGAGAAGGGTTTATATATGGTTTGGGGAACTCGTCTCAGATTTGTTCTTCACCATCCTTCATCCCTTCCTCACATACCCTCTGTTTTGTTGATGACCCTGGCTTCTATTAATTAATGCAACACAGAATAAATCAGTATGTTTTGGATAGGTTATTAAAATTGTACACGTGTTTATGAAGAAGAGGCAATTAAACAAATGATAGGCTCTTGAAAGCCTATGTTGGCCTTCAAGCCCCAGATGAGTTATTATGTGAGAACTCACTACCTTTTCAAGTCTTCAAGTGGTGGCTGAATGACCACTTGTCAGGAAGGTTATAGTGGGAACTGATGCTTCGGGTAGAGGTTGAATTAGATGGCTGCTGAGGTCCCTAGGAGATGAGATTCTGAAGCATCACTGTTTTTCCTCAAGACACAATCCAAACTTGTTTTCCTGACAAGTCCTACATGCAGTTGGGAATGTAGTCTTACAAAAGCTGTTATATAAGGTGAAGATGTGTGTGGGCAGAAACAGAATGGATTATGCAACAGACCACCTGGACAGAAAGAGGAAATAGATAAGGTTAGAAAACAATTCACTAACCTGATAAGGGAGACATAGTAATCCTAGGGGACAGTAGTCATATATCTACTAGATCTTTGCCCAAAGCATAATAGCTACTAACTTCTTGGCTTTCCTCAATAATTCCATCCTTCAAAAGGTAGAGAATCCAGGGAGGGGAAGTTCTGTTTTAGAGTTAATTCTCACCCCCAAGGAGAACTTGTTGCAGAGACAAAAACGGGTAGGAGTGGTAAGGAGAAGTCATCAGGTGTTTATTAGGCACCTGCTGTGTGCCAGGCACTGGGGATACAAAAGAAGGACAGTTCCTGCTCTCAGAGAAGCTTGTGGCTTAATGGGAGGAACAATATGTGAACATTGGTGTACAGACAAGATATCACCAGGCTGAAGTGGGGCTGACGTGAAACGGGAGGTGCCGGCATCGATGGAAATTCAGGAGAGGCTTCTTGTAGAAGGTGGGGTTTTAACTGGGATCTGAAGGGAGCCTGAATGTGGAGATAAGGAGGGCGAGCATTCCAGGCCTGGGGGACGAGCTGTGAAAGCCCACAGAGTTGGAGGGCGGAGCGTCATGTGTGAGAAGCAGTAAGGAGGGCAATGTCACTGGATCACAGAGTACCGGAGGAGAGTAAGGGGTAACACAGTTAACAAGACTGGAAACAAGTGGGCCAGGTTAAGAAGGGCTTTAAAGTCGAGATGCTGGCTCTTCCATTTGATGCTGGGGGTAAGAGGGAACTGCTGGACTTTAATGAGGTAGAGCATGGACAGGGTCATAGCCGGGCTTTAGGAAGATCACTTTGGCAGCTAAATGGATGAAGGATGGCAGTGGGGAGAGACAGGCGGCCAGAAGACCAACCATCAGGCTATTGTGATTGTCCAGGCATGGGATGCCAAGGGCCCATTCCGCTCTATATTAGAATTTGTGCTAGAAGAGAGGTAAGCCGAGAATGGTTTGACATATAACCTTAGTTTTCAGGAGAACAGATGTCAAAAGATTCAGAGTGAAACTATGCAAGGTAAGATCCCAAGGACTAAAATTTTCCAGGGGAAAGCAGCCTAGAAATGATGAGAAGAATGAAATTATGAAGACAAAAAGAGAAACAATTCTGATGGAAAAGCAAAGGGGGAATTGTCTAAAGAGAGTATCAACAAATTTAACTTATGAGAAGATGCCTTGGACAGAGGATAGGATCAAGGACAGGCAATGAAGGATGGCTGTTGAAACATGGCAGGGTCTTGTAAAAATAATGCCAGGACTCCTAGAGCTAAAGATGGGGAGAAAACATAAGCGCAAGATGGGGAGAAAACATAAGCACACCAAAAAGGGCTGGTCTTGTTTTTGGTTTGTTTGAGCTGTATTGAGGAGAAGAGGAAGAATAAAGGAGGGTGAAACAGTGAAAACCCCAAATAGGGAGACGGCCAGTAGTTACTCAGTACTATTTTGCTTCTGTTTTCTTGGCTAAGAGAATGATCTGTGGACTGGTAAGGAAAAACAGAAATAGCTTATGGAGAGTTGATACCTAGTATAAGTCAGGGAATAGGGCGATCTCATTACCTCTGATGAGTTCAGGGCACCATTTCCAGGTGTGAAAGAACTGGCAGATGAGATTGATGAGCCTTTGAAAGATCGTGGAGAGTGCAAGAGGTACCCCAAGAACGGCGCTTGTCTCAGTTTTTAAAAAGGAGGGAAGGTAGGTGATGTAGATAGTGGGATCTGCAAACAGGCTGCTGAACCGGATTAAATTCCTGGAAAAATTCCAGGGCTGGTTAGTGGATATCTGGAAAAGGCAGCTGTGATCACGAAAGAGCCAGTGTGACTTCGTTGAGACTTCTAGATCAGTGGAATACTGGGCTCTAGGCTGATTTTAGCAAAGTGTTTGATAGAGCCTCTCATTCTGTTTTTGTGGGAAAGGTGGGAGACATTAGAGAATAAGTGGATTTGGAAGTGGTTGGACCCAAAGAATAGTTATTAATAGTTCATTGTTAGAGACAGCAGGGTGGCTCAGTGGATAGAGTACAGGCCCTAGAGTCAGGAGGACCTGAGTTTAAATCTGGTTTCAGATACTTACTAGCTGTATGACCTTGGGCAAGTCACTTAACCCTGATTGCTCCCCCCCCCCCCAAAATAGTTCATTGTTGGAAAGAAGTGTCTTCTGAAGGGCCCCAAAGATTTGTGCTTGCCTCTTTCCCTCTTGACTTTTTTTTAGTCCGTGATTTGGTGAAAGTCAAAATGGCCTTTATCATATTTGCAGATGACATGGAGCTGGGGGAAGATATGATGTGTTTGGTGATACAGTTTGGGCAAAATGTTGGGCTCACATTTAGGAAGTTGAAGTTTAATAGGGGTAAATGTGACATTTTACATTTGGATTAAAGAAATCAGCATCAAGTCCAGGGAGAGATGTGGTGTTATGTAGTAGACCATTTGAAAAAAGATCTGGTGGTGTGGTTGGACCACCAGCTAAATGTGCTGTGCCCGTGTGATTTGATGATAGTTGTACTCAGTTGTGGACATTTTTTGGTAATTTTTAGAAAAATATGGGGTTGTTCCTAAGAAGTGCTTCCCTGAGTCTCATACAACGGAGGCGTCTAGAAGAATGAATGACATTCTGAATCACAAGGTAAGAGGTGTGGGGAGGGCTGCTCCTGTCCGCACCCCAAAGCGCCCATCTGTCTTCTTCCTGTCCAAGGTGCTCGTGGGCAGCTGCTCTCGGTCCTCAGGCCCTTGGCCTCGGTATCCCTGGGGTACCTCGAGGGCAGCTCAGCACATGCTTATTGCCTGGTTTGCCAACGATCTCTCTTCTTAGCATATTTCATGGCCGATGCAGCTTTTTTTGGTGTTTTCCTGATGTGCACATGTACAAGTGTTACAGTGTTTTTGCTCATTTCTTTCTTGCTCTCTTTCCTGGCTGGAAAACTTGTGATTTCCTTAGTATGAGGCACTCCCCTCTACTAGAGTAGATCCGTCACTTTCTACTCTGCAACTTCTACTCTTGAGAGGTGACAAAAAGGCTTGTCCAGTGTCACACAGCCAGTATGGGACAGAGGTGGGACTCAAAGACAGCTCTCTCTGACTCCAAAGCCAGCTCTTGACCCCTTCTGTCAGGCTGCCTCTCATTTCATTGATATCCTGAAATAGAGTGCTAGGCTGGCTTCTATGGACAAGTGACGGGAACACAAGTGGGTTAGGATTTCTGAGAGAAGCTGTAGTTCAAGCTGCTGTTATTAACCTGTCTTCACGCTGACCTGCCCACAGGAGAAGCTGCTTTGTCAGCCTGAAGCCTTTTTGGGCATAGGAGTTGCAAGGCTATAATCTGTTGCCGTAAACCCAAGGGTTCTCCTTGGCTTTGCCATTCCCAGGGAGCTTGATGTCGCCTTTAGAATAGCACACTTTCATTTTATTTATTTATTTATTTTTAAGATTTTTATTGATTTATTTTGATTTATCAGTAGTCACTTCCATATGCTTTTGAGTTTAAAATTTTTTCACCCTTCCTCCCCAACACCCTCCCCAAGACTGCACACAGTCTGATATAGGCTATACATTTACATTCCTATTAAACGTATTTTCACATTAGTGATGTTGTAGGTAAAAATTAAAACTAATAGGAGGAACCATCAGAAAGAGGAAACAAAACTCAACAAAAGAGAAAAGAAAATAGCAATTCAACTTCCATAGTTCTTTCTCTGGATGTGGATGGCATTTTCCATCGTGAGTCCTTTGAAGATGTCTTATCTTTGCATTGCTGAGAAGAGTTAAGTTTATCAATATTAGTCGTCACACAACGTGGCTGTTACCGTGTACAACGTTCTCCTGGTTCTGCTCGCTTCACTCAGCATCAGACCATACAAGTCTTTCCAGGTTTTTGTGAAGTCTGCCTGCTCATCATTTCTTATAGCACAAGAGTGGTGCATTTTTAGATGAGTTTCCCATTACTGGAAGTGAGCTGGAACTTCTCACCTGTGGACTGCCCAGGCCACAGGCTGTGCTTCAGTATGACCAGGGTGTTTCTTTTACTCCTGCTCCAGAGCTCCATGATTAGTAGTGCCACAACTCACTTGCTTTTATCTCCAATGTGGCATGTTCTTCTTTGCCACTTGAAATAATGTATCCCACCCTGAAACATACCCATAAATGAGACCACTCTCATTCCTCAGATACTAGCATAGCATTAGTCACAACTGCTCAGTGGGGAAGAAACAGTTAGCAACAAGTAAAATTCAGAGCAGGTCAAATCTACGAGGCTAACTAGGTGGTAATCGAAAATGTGGTCCCTGGCTGCAGGGTGGGAGGTGGCATAGTCGCCCATGTCTGCTAGTCTGCCCCAGGGCCCAGTTTCTTCCAAAAGCAACCTTTCTCCTACCACCTTTTGTTTACACTAGCAGTTAGTGCTCATGAAAAATGTTTTTAGCATACCTTGTTCTGCATTAGATTGAATTTAAATGAACCCATTGGGAAAAGGGTAAGTAGGGTCAGGAGCAAGCTCCTGTGTGCTCCATTGCTTTAAGCATCAGTCAGCACCAGTTTTAATGAGTTAGCAGACCAGTGACAGTTCTGTATTAAAGTTGATTTAGGACACACTTTAATGATAGATATTTTCTTTTTACAGATGAGAGAATATTGTATACGACTTCGAAACTTGGTAAAAAGTGGAGCAACAGAAGAAGATATTTCTGTCACCCAGGATGCCATGATGGAAGAGGTAATAATAGTGATTTGATTGTCATTAACACCCTTCCAGAGAGCTCAAAGACTATTTACATTTGCTTTATTTTTAATACCTTGTGAAGGCAATTCAGAGGCCCAGTCATTATTATTTCCATTTTACAACTGGAGTGACTAAAAAGGATAAAAGGTAGTCCTGGATTTGGGACCAAAATCCAGGCCTCTTGATCTTGGATCTCCACCAATTCAGTATTTAATTGCACTTTGTATATAATTAATTTTCTTTATGGCTTGGGACAAGGAGAGGGGCAGGGATTATTACAGGTGGAAGATTTTGAAACAGTGTGGTATTAAAGTTTCATTAGTAATGGGCATCATAACCCTTGGAAATTGAAATAATGGCCTCTTTGGGAAGGCGGGTGGTGTTGTAATAATACTGCTGACCTTTGCCAATCTAAAGGAGCCGTAAACTGAGCTTTGTATGGTAGGTTAACGGTGGATTAGTGATGTCCTGGGTCCCCACACACTGCTGGTGGGATGGTGGGAGGAATCTCAGCAGAGCTGTTCTAGAACAGAGGTATCAAAATCTAGGCTAGAGAAGCAGATTAATTGGGAAATATCTAACAAAATAAAAATGCAGTAGAACATAGAAAGTGTTAGTATGTGGTTTTGTAAATCAGTATGTCACCAGCAGGGATCCTTATGGATGGTTTAGTGCCCCCATTTCCATTGAGTTTGTCACCCTTGGTCTAAAAGACCTCCTTCCCCCAACTCCCAAACACACTTTGAAACAATGGAACCCTAATGTGATTTCATTTTGCCTAGTTCTGGACCACATGTTTTCAGAACTTTATCCATTGATTCCATTGGTGGGCTTTTCCTTTTTCTTCAGTGATTCCGCTCATTTGAATCTGACACCTTCAGATTCCTGATCTGACTTAAAAGTCATTTAAACAAATCAAATCAATAGCTTGAACTTACAGCCACGAACATTTAACTGTACTTTGAATGGCTTCTGAGTACTTTGTGATTCTAAAAAATTGATTCTCAGTAAAGCCCAGAGTAGCTTATATCTTGAAACAAGAAGTTTTTTTGTCTTGGGCCTTTCTAGGTGTCCCACATTCCTCTCTTTCTAGCAGGGGTGCTTGGATCGGTGAGCTTGTTTTTAAAATATTTTAATAATTGTCTTTCAGTATAACATACTGAGAAAATGTCAGTAAAATATCTTGAAATAATTGTATTTTCAGTTTAATAATTACATTTCAGAAATAGAATAGTTTCCTTTGAAATCTGATCTATTTTTATCCATTCAAAACCATTATTATGAGGTGGGATCCCTATAGGGTTTACCAAACTGACAGCCAGAGAGATCTATGGCAAAACAATGGTTAAAAATCTCTGCTTTGTGCCTGTAAAATCAATTTATGCTCTAGGAATGATTTTCTTTTGATTAAACAGGTGTGTAACTTCTGTAGGATTCCATAGAATTGGTATGTTTAGTACTAAAACTTTGTTAATAAAAACAACCGTAAACCTTCCTCTTGCATTGCCACCCCCAATGTCTTTCAAGTTCCCTAAAGAACAGAGAGAAGTCAGAACCATCGGCAGAGGTTTGAATAGGGATAATTCAATCTGGACATGCATTGCTAGCTAGGTGCTGATGTGGTCTTTTCTCTTGGGTTCTGGAGAGGGAGGGAGGGAGGAAGGAAGGAAGTAAGGAAAGAAAGAGAGAATGAAGGAAGATAGGTAGATGAAGCTGGTCTGCTGCCAGTGCCTAGATGAGCCGTTAATTGGGTGAATCTTCCCCTTTATTGATCTTTAAATCATTCCTGGAAAAATTGGTGTACGCTCTAACTTTACATTTTCTTTCGATTAAATAGGGGTCTAGAGGCAAAAAAGCCAGTGTTATGTTTAATGATTAAATCCTAGGCCTCTGTGTGCCATGCTTGTTGTTCTTAAGCCATGGGCCACTAGAATTCAGACATATTTTCACCTCTTTTAAAGAGGATTTACTAATCATATGCTCTAAATTGAGTCTCCACTATGGTGACTCAGTAGTGTATCCTGAGAATGGAAGCAACGTAGGGATGAGAAAGTGCTTTCTTGAATATATTGAAACTTTTCATCCTTCCTGTTAATGTTGTGTTTATACTCAAGCAGTCTTGTCTTTTGAAGACTTCCAGGGAACTTGAATCTGATCTTTTAAGCTAGTCACTTACTAGCTTAAAACTTGACCTTCTCTACAGTGGTGCTGTCTTCCTCTGATTTTGATCCAACAAACAGATGACCAGGCTTGCTGCCTTCCTTGGGAGGTAGTATGAAGAGTGAACATTTGAAAAGCAATTTAAACCTTGCATAGTTAGAAGGGTGTATGATTACTATATTGGGTTTGCTTGCCCACCCATTAAGGAATTCATCATTATACTGAATTGTTGTGAAAATCCAAGTGACAACAACCTTTGATTCTTTGTTATCACTTCCAGTACCACCCCTGCTTTGTAACAAGGACATCTGGTGAAACCAGCCAAACCAACCTGATGACCATTTCTGATGCTGTATTTCTTTCCGCATCTGTCATCCTCCATCCTCTGGCATTGTGATTGATCATGCACTGACCCAAGCTCTTTCCCTTTACTTTTTGTGGTTGTGGTGCCAGGAGGTGGCAATTTTGAATGTTCAGGGTCTTTGGCTTCAGGGTGTACAGACTGACCTGCAGAGTCAGACTCAGGATCTGAATAGTCCAGTCTTCTATTTCTAACAGTGGCGCTAGGGGACATTCTTGGCTGCCGTAACAGCCCAGAAGGTTAAGGACATCAGTCACTGCTTTTCTTCGGACTCTAGTTTCCTTCTCTGTAAAGTGGGAGAGCGCTGATATCTGGAGGTGCCTTCTTGCTCTCTGCCTCTTGATGATTCTCCAAATCCTTCCATTCGGTTCAGCAAACACTTAGAAGTTAGTACCTGCCATGTACACGTCACTGTTCTGGGTGTGGGGCATTCAAACACAGACGTGAAATAGCCCCAGCAGGCTCTGTGTTCAACTTCTGCCATCTCTTATGGCTCACAACAGGCAGTCAGAGTTAAGTGACTGGTCCAGGGTCACAATAGCTAGTAAGTGTCAAGTGTCTGAGGCCAGATTTGAACTCAAGTTCTCCTGACTCCAAGGCCAGAGCTCTACCTGCTGCGCCACCCAGCAGCGCCTCACAGCAGTCTTTTAAACAACCATCAGACTCCTCTGACCAGTCTTTATAGTGGTTTACTTCAGGCCTACCTATATGTCTTCTCTTCCCTCTGAAGCTGTTCCTGACCCCTAGGTCTCTGAGTACCTGTGGTCACCTGCAGGACCACCCCATGCCATAGAAATGGTGCCATCAACTTTGTTATCTGGTGGATTGAGGATCAGGGTATGTTAGTTAATTATAGGACCTTTCAAGCATGCCCATAGGGATTAGGTTAAGGATGTGATAAAAAAAAGAGACTGAACACTAAGTCTGGGCATCGGAGGATCTCGTCATGATGAATGTTCATTTTTGTCCTCCTACATGCATTAGTGGTTTCTGGTTGATAATGAAACGATACTTGTAAAGCACATAGCACAGTGCCTGGCATGTAGTAGGCACTTAATAAATTCTTGTTTCCTTCCCCCTTAAGAGAAAAACAGAAAATGCTTCATTTCTTCTTTATTCTAAACTACGCCATCCAAGCTTTAAGGGCACTCTCCAGTTGTCCTGTTCTGAGAGACAGTGAGGAAGGTAGTGTTTATCCCTTATTATCCATTCTTTTTAGGGCAGGTCAAATTCTGTGTCCCAATTTCTTTTTTTTTTTAAATGAAAAATTTAAATATGTAAATGGTAAATGGAGACATGTTTTTCAGTAACACTCGGGTAATAAAACACCCTTGGGAAGGGGCTAAGGTGCACATGCTTCATGCTGAATTGTTCTCTATGGTAAGTGATACAATAGCAAATTCCCATAATATTTCTCTCTTCTTAAACTAGGGCCTGTTTACATATTTTCTGCCCCAGTAGATTTTTTAAAATTTAATTCTTTTTGCTTTTCAAAAATTTGCTTTCTCTCTTTTTCCTCCTCCCATGCCTCCCCCCTCCCCATTTAAAAGAAAAAAAGAAAAACAAAACTCTTGTGACAAATATGCATATTCAAGGAAAACAGATTCTTTCATTGTCCATGTCCTGGAAGTGTCTCATTCCACACCTTGATCCAGCCTCACCTCTGGCAGGAGGTGGGTGGCTTGTTGCATCATAGGCTCTCTGGAATTGTAATGGGTCACTTCGTTGTCTTTCCACGTGGGCTGCCTCCCTTGGATACCACAGAAGGAGTCATACTTGTTTTGGGAGCCCGTCTCCTCCCTACAACATCCTGCTTCCACTTGCCAGGCATCTTGGTAAGGTCTCTTCTCCTCCCCATCATTACAGTGCTGTCCTTAAAGGAAGCTCCTCCCCCTTCTCCTTTCTCCTTTCCCCAGCAAACACCATCATTCTCCTGAGCAGCCCTCTTCTTTCTCTGCTCCTCCTCTACCCCAGCCCTGTTAGGATAAGTCATGTCCTCATCTGTTTAGATTGCAAGCGCCCTGGAAGCAGGACATGTTTCCTTCATCGTATCTGTATTCCCAGTGCCTGGCTCCTTGTACTGAATACTTATTGAAGGATTCATCCTGCCCTTTTGCTGGTGTTTTTCCATCTCTTTGGAAAGTACCACTTCTGGTTACTGATGGCTCTGCCTACTCATTGGGGTGACTAACCAGCAGCTACTGTTAATACCTTCCAACTAATGTACCTTTCCCTGTCTTCCACCCTATTCCTGCCAAACCAGGCTTCCTCTGTTCTGGATCTGCAGCAGTGTTTTCGGCTGTCTGTTAACATCTTTTTACTTCTTGGTGTTTCTAAGTAGCTGTAATGCTTGTCCCCAGACTGCTCTAAGTCCCTAAGGATAAGCTCCCTTTGGTGTTGCTTATGAAAAAGACTTCACAGTTGAGTTCAAGACGTAATTTCCCTCTCTTTCACAACTGTCTGTCTGTCCATC